TCCACGATGCCAGCCATGTCATTGTTTGAACAGCATTCATAAAAAAAACTAGATGAAATTGGCGCTAACTGGTTCGTATAACTCGGGTAACCCGGGAGGGAGAAATGTGAATGCCGAAGAGGAATATGAATATTGGCGATTATGGCTTGCAATAATCAACCCTCAGATCAGCAGATGTCGAGCGACTCTAGCCAGTACAAAGTACATAGTACGTACTACACTCGACTTAGAAATAAGGTATATCCACTGGGCAACGCGAAAAATAGCCAAGGCTGTCAGCCAATAGAAGAGTTTGGAAGCCGACAAGCTTGTCGCTCATTGCTGGTGCCTTGAACGGGTTGTCCCGAAGTCTAAATTCACCTTATGGCTTCTGATTTAATTCTAATATTAAAAAAAACAGTTAAGGATATTTACAGGCTTTTTCCAGGAATACTTGTACTAAATAATTAGTTTCCTTTCTCAAAAATCTCACACACCTGCTCTCTAACCCCGTGCTCAGTCCGTTGATCGAATCCGACCCAACCTGAGCGTGTTCCGTTTCATGATCCTCACAAGAGCTGGTGGTACCGGTTTTCATTAACGGCAGTCATTTCGATGACTTTCAGGGTAATCCTGAGAGTTCATGTTTTCAAGTGACGTGGTGATGATGTGGATGAGCTATATCGATGCGTTTAACACAGAGAATGGCAGTTTTAGCGACGATGAGGGTCTTCCTGGTCATCTTCAGCCTCGCTATCCTCCAAGCCGTGGCCGAAGATGGATCGCAGACGCAAAATGAGCAGAAAGAAGAAGTTCCTTCACCCGAGAAGAACATTGCTACTGAACAACCACCCCTAATCGATAAAGGGAATGTGGTCAATGAAGAGATAGTTCCCGAGAAACCGAGTGGTGAAATGATCTCATATGCGGAGCTAGAGCAATTTGCCAAAGTCAGTGAACAAGTTCATCTGTAGTATTCTTTTTATAACCTTTTATTTTTTCCATTCCTGAACATTTCAGGCTGGACGTCACTTTATGGTTACAGTTGTCGCTGAAGACGGTAAAATGTCCCGTGATCAACTTAAGAAACTGCCAGACATAAGTAAAGAATTTGCACAATTCAACGATGCTCTTAAGATCTATTCGGTAAGCTGAATAAGAAATTTTCCGGAGAAATTCAATATTTTTCATCCTGGACATGAAGTGTGCAAGTCGATAGCCCTGAATATCTATTTGTCTTCCTCTAAATATGAACTATCCAATCTATTCGGGGAAGTTCATTAAAGGCACTGTTAACAAAAACATTGTTTCGGACATTTGCAC